AGCAGGAATTGTTATATAGTTATGTCTTAACTCTTTAGTATCCTCTGAGAATACGAACACTTCACAGCATTTTCCAGTGTGGAAGAGCCCAGATGACTAATAGCCCACTCACTCGGAGTCGGCCAAGAGATGACACAGTTATCGGCACGCAGAGCAAAACAGAATCAGTTTGAAAGGCAGGTGGTAGGTAGTGTTCTGCGCCCTGAAGTGGGAGGACCGCATCAGCTGCCCCACAACGCTACGGGAATTAGTCAGGCTTACTTGACAGTGGCGCAACATATCTGAACTGGTGGTGGGGAACAACAAAACTCTCTAGTACAGACAGACCTTAAAATCTATCAGTTTTGTGGAACAAAAAATAAAACAGAGACGCATGAAAGAAATGGTAGTATGGGAAGAAAGAAAGGTACAGAATGAAAGAAATGTGTTAAATGACATTCATTTAAAAGCAAACATTTTTTTTTTCTTAACTGGAACGCACACCTCCTTAAACAAAACCTATGAAAATTTCCCAAGACTTTTTCGAACTGTTATCCAAATGACAAAGGATTCTCCAACACAAACACTGCATCATTTAGAATACACATTTTCTCCCTGAAAATAAGTAAATTATCCACTTATAAATCTAAAAGCTGTATTTAGAAAGTTTGAAACCATTAATTAATTACTTCACTACTACAGTTTTCTTAATAACATATTCACTGAAACAGACTGAATGAAGGAAGCTGCATGGAGGATCTACCTGGTACACCCAAAGGCACTGCAAATATACATATTTCATTGTACTTTCTTTGAAATAACAGCAAAAATAAGGTTTTGTTGACTGCACAGTTATAAATTACTCAGCAAGACGAACTGAGAATTCCTGTTTTCCTCTGAAGTAGTTCAAGAGCATCTGTTCCTCCTGTGACACACTGCTTCTTGTAAATTGTTCTGAAGAGCTAGCTGAAGATTTTCATAATTAAAGGATCTCTGACTGCAGAGGGATGGTGAGCATAATGACCTAATGACCTTAGCATTCACTAATGACTGTTAATGCTTTTCAATAAGTTTTCCATTTTAAAACGCTGTTGATGTGGGTTTCTTGGTTTTGCTTTTTTGAAGTGACTGGAGAATAACAAAATTAGCGAATTCTGAACAAGAGCAAAATCTGATGCCCTGCCTAGTTACTCAAAACAGCAAGCACAAAACTACTGAAAGTCTTTGTAAAATTATTGCCTAGGATAATATTTGGTGATCATTTAGTTTATTAGTCTAGTAAGTGAAAGTGGAATAAACTGCAAGCACCTCCATCTTTACTGTGAGACAGCAAGAATATTTTCCAGAGGTCTAGGTCAGCTTGGGTAGTTATTGATGGCATTCACAAATAAAGATATAAAAATAACACTTATATTAAACAATTTATGTCTGTAACTATTATTGAAGCAAGACAGTGTTCCTTTTCTTTGATTACATGACCATGATAAAAAACTGTGTTTTTTTTTTTTTACTTAATGTTTTGGTTTTGAATCAACGGTTATTATTATGGTCTACTTGAAAACAATTCTCAAGCAGGCAGACAATGAAAATTAGATTAACCAAAAATTGGTTAACAATGGAAAAAAAGGTTAATTTTGGCCTAATTGCAATAGTTAGTAGCTCTTGACACGTGAGAAACATCAGTAATCAAAGAACAAGGGATGCCATTTGTAACATTCCAAAGAAAGAAGAAGGAATCAAACCTGCTGCAAAACAATGAAATGTTCTGACTAATGGAATAATGGGTGATGGAACAGGTAGAAATCTGAAAATGCGACAGAAAAGCAGACCTCTTCTTAGAACTAGATGCAGAGTTTGTGCTGACTCCAGGAGGCATGTCGCTATAAAAAGAGTCGGCCTCTCCAGGCTTTTTTACATAATCTCCCTGGGGTATTTGTCTGAAGTATAATAAACATCGTAGAGTCAGAAAACAAGACAGGCGTGAGCACACAAGCACACATACACACAAATATTAGTTTAAAAGAAAGAGGCAAGCATAATGATCCTTGAGGAAACCCATTAAACATACACAATAAACATACTAATAAATATTTCAACCATCCGTGAGGATACTCCTGTGAATTTTGGACAGTTCAGAGAAGTGGATTATGTAAGTTTAGGTAGGGGAAAACAAGAAATACTTCATTAATAAACTCCGATCACAGGTTTCACAGTGATTAGTTTGTGGTTCTTGAGACAATGGATAATCAAGTTTAGACACTTCAAAGAGCTCATCAAGCAGGCTGTGAAAAGCATCCCTTGCTGCAGTACAAGTACCCAAACCAAATTCATGCGTGGACCAAACAGGACTTAAGGAAAAGCAAATGCATTCTTCCTTCCCGATGAGATAGATGCTTTTTGTTTAATCTTTGTGATCATCAATGAATTCAAGAATAGCAACCTGCTGAGCTGTTTAAACCTCGGTAGGAGAAAAACCTCCAGTTTATTAACTGTTCTCTTTCGCAGTGGAATTTAAGCCAGTGCTGGTTACTTCTGATTACAATAGACTCAATCTGCCAAGACACACAAAAACAGTACTACCGGTATCTGACAATAGTTCATCCTTTTCCTGTAGTAAAAGCTTGATTTTGGTGCATAAAACCCATCTATGCACTAGAAATTCCTAATTCAAGTTATGCCACTTTTGCACAGCGAATTCATTGCCAGCCGACAACTGCCTTGCAGATATGCCTGTTACAGTTCCTAAGCTGAAAAATCTTCTCTAATACAAACAGCTAATTTGGAAGTCTGTTGTAGCATAATAATATAAGTTTAATTATCCATTCAGCCTTGCACTTTCCAAGGCATTTTTGTTTCTGTTTGCCACTATTAAGATGCTCATTTATCAGAAGGTCAATTCACATTCAGATTATTTCCAAACTACAGACCTGAACCGGGCTCTATCCGTTCCATATTTAAATTTCTAATGCTTCTTCGGTATTTTAAATATGTAATTATATGACACATAAATTTCTAGTATAATACAGTACTTCTAGACTATTTCTTCTACTGCCTCAGGAGTCTCAGTTCTCGTCTCATTCCTCAGGCAGCAAGTACACCAGTATTTCCAGAACTGATTCAGTTTGTGCAGTTCTGCTGTTCCCCAGGTTCCTCTTTAACAAACCATCCTCTCACTAGTCAGTCAGAGCAGACTTCTCCCATATATTTGTGCCCTTTATGCTACGTTATCTCCGTTGACAGAATCCTTGACCCAGTCCTATCCTTTTTATTACTTTCAGTTGACTTGTTTCAGCCACTGAGTACTGTCAAATACCATTCCGCCTGTAATGCTTACACATATATTAATCGCTTGTTCTCATCTTTAAGGACTAAACTGGAAACGGGTCAAAAAAAGGATACTATGATGGATTTAGGTTTTTCCATTTATTGAACTCTCCTTGTATATGTCCATAATGATCTGCTTAGAAATCAGTCTATGGAACTTCATATTCTGCATGAAGGAGATTTAGTTAATCACCTCCAGTCTTCCACCATCCTCAGAAGCCTTTGCTTTTGTTAGCTTCCACTCCGCCCATGCCCACAGACACAGCTGCAGGCTGGCTGCATACTTGCAATTCTCTGCCCATATTCTAATTTGTGGAGATGAGGGAATTTGAAAGATTTTAGATACTCTAATATTCCCAAGCACATGCGCAAGGGGCTTCTCTTTCCATATTTCAAGGTTGCAGCTGCTCTGTCCTCTGCCAACGCTGATGTGTCTATAGTGGAGTGACTCACAGGCAGCGTGACTCTGTGTTTGCAGATTCAGGGCACTCCACGAAGAATCACCAAACCTCAGACCGCCAAAATCTGTTTTCCTTGTGCTCAGGTGACATCTCCTGTCTGCTGCAATGCCTGACTTCAGTATCTTTGCCCTCTTCCCAGTTATTGTCCCCCGACCTTGGTGCACATAAGACAAATTAATCAGCACGTGGCAGGGCTTTTCTGCTCCATCCTACTACTTGAAACCTGCCAGGGAAAGCACTCCTTTCCAGGCAGAGGAAACGGGGAATAAACTCAACAGGTGGCAGCAATATAGTGGTAGCTTGGACCAGCAGGTGGTAATAAAGGCAAAAAAATGGAGAACATCATGTCAATATTAATTATTCTATTCTCAGCCTCTCAAGAATGTTTTAATCTCTAATAGCACATTTTCCGTGTCTTTTATTGGAAATATTCTCCTGTTTTCCTAACAGTGTATTTACTGGAGAAAACATCATTTTTGCTACTGAGGTCAATGGAATCAGGATTTTAAACATCGTATTTGTAGAATAAACACAAGTTTCATATATTCAAGCAAATACTCTTTAAAATATGCTAATCTATCATGAGCATATTTTCTTATAGCATGTAAATGACCAAATCAGAAGAAAAGCTATTTTCAGACTTTTCTAGAGATGCATTCCATTACTTTTATCACATACCTCTGTCTTCTGTAATTTCTTTCCATAAAAAAAGAAGAGAAAGAAATAAGAATGAGTTATCAGTATGCAGGTATACATGGTCAGTAGGAGAAAACAAAAAGGCAAACAGAAAAGCAATGTATGCAGAATGAAATTTTTGCTCAAAATGATTCTACAGAAGCCACTTCTGAAATAAACATATTCACACACATACTAGCTCAGAATGAACTAGGAAAAATGTATTTACGCTGACGGCTCCGCCCAACGCTGAGTTTGAGGTGCAGTTCATGATGAATGTAATGTTTTCTTGATCGTGCCCTCCCTATCATCCTTCAAGTCGACACCAGCAATCATGTGGTCATGCAGCTGAGTCAGGTCAGCTCACCGATCTCACTGAAAACTAATCTTTTCCACTCTCCAGGTTAATTTTCAGTCCTGTCAGGAAGCTCACCCACCAGATGGCACAGCCACAGGGTCACCAGTGCTGGCAGAATTGCTGATGGATAGCAGCAGAGGGAAAGAAAAGCAGGACTTCTGGTGCCAGTGTAGTCTTAGGTCAGCCTAACCTCAGCTGTTACACTGCCATCTAAATACACTTTCATGAAGTCTGGGAACTGAAGCTACTGCTTCCATATTACTAGTAAAATTACGCAGGTCACCGGCTAAATCTGATCTCAAAACTAGCTGTTAACTTCTGGAGCTGTACTCAGAACAGAAGTCCAGACTTTCAGATACTCCCAGAAGCTGAAGGTGACGTAAAAAGATAGCATAGGACAGTCTTTTTACTCTATGAGTCTTCATATTTTCCCTCATGTGCCTCTTTCCTTACATGTGTTTGAGCTGCTTTCAGTCTGCAAGTTTGCAATGGCCCCAGAGGGTCCAAACAAGAAGGAGCCCAGGAGCAGGACCATGGACGTTGCAGGAGCAAGCGCCAGCTCCGAGAGCAGTCGGCGCAGCCCCAGGCAGGCACCAGGGCCCCGGCACCACTGGTAGCGGGGCCGGCGCGGGGCTGCCGTGCCATTCCCCAGGAGGACAGTGCCGTGCTCCTGAGCCTGTCCTGCCTTCTCACCACCACAAGCACCACGGGAAGGCAGACTTCTACAGCCTCATTCAAACGTGAGCGACTTTCTCTGTGGAGAATGTGCCCTAAAATTTAATATATGCAAAAGAACTAAAACTTTCTCGTGTTAGAAGAAATTCACAAAAGAGGAAAAACTGAAGAAGAGCAGTCATACCAAAATAATTCATTTTTCCTTTCAGTTAGCAGAACACTGCAACTGTACGCCAGATGAGAACTTGCACCTTATTGCAAATTGAGAGATTTATCTCTCTCAACGAAACACTGGAGCGCATGCTTGAATTAATCTGGGGTTAAGCTGAATGAACATAAATATCTGTTGAAAGAAGCCTATGGTTAAATGCTTTACTGACTGAAGGCCAATCTTCCTAAATTTACTCTGTCATTACAAAAGATTTGTAGTTGAATCAGATCCGACTCTCATATTTTGTCAGACATAGTAAAATAATATTCTGAGCATCTTCAAAAAAAGAAAAGGAATAACTAAATAAGAAATATATTTCAAGCCTGGATCAAGCTCTCTGAAAACAAAAACACATACACACGTAAGAATTGACGGAAAAATTCTAAGACTATCAAAATTTCACTAAATAAATACAATTCAATTTGAAGTTTTTTTATTACATTTGAATTGCTCCTTTCATAATGTAATCAGCTAACAGATGAAATTAACAAAAAATTTTTAAACTGTATTAAGAAGAACACAATTTACTTACTTGTAACCCCAACCAGTTATTCCTAAAACGAGAGCCAACACTAAAATGGTGCCAGCAATAGCCCCTATTATTATATTTGTGCTAACAACACCTGGAAATACAAGAAAGAAGAAAAATATACCAGGTTTTAGGAGAAAAATATACAAAAACAGTACATGCACTGTCTTTTAAAAACCTGCTTGGACAACTTGCACTAGGCTGATTACTTGTAACCGGTGATACAAACCTAAAGTATAGCCAGGATATGAAAAGATAATTTGCACATCAAACTTTGATCTCTGGGTCTGTTTCCCTTAAACGAACACTTGTCACATGTGAAAGTTGTGTCAGATATACCAGTATAATACTGTCAATACAGTCAAGCTGCTGCAGTTACATCTACATAACCTGCCTGCTAGATAAATACTTGTATTGCAATAAAAGTGACTTTCTTGGTTTAAATACCTCCCACAGCTGAATAAACTAACCAAAAAAGGCATTCTGGAAGAGGGAAAAAACTGCCCCCCATAGGTTTTCATAACAATAACAGGAAGCATGTATACCTTCACTTTTCCTCAATATACCCTCCTCTTACATGCAAGCCTAGAGATGAGTAACAACTTTCGCTCAAAAAACGTACAAGCATAAAACGTGGGTGCAAACATTCTGATATAGCATTCATGTTCTAAAAATGTGATTTCACAACTAAGAGTCAAACACAAAAGTAATTTTGCCTTTCCGTCTAGATATGAGGAGCTCTAGTAAACCTTGGCTTGTCCTAATCAGTTAATGTACTTAGTAAGACCACTCAGATGATTGGAGTAAGCAAGGTACCACTAGATGCCCTTGTGCAACTCCTGGGAGTTGCACCAAATACTCATGGGACCGCACCATTCACATCCTGGTCCAGGACTGAGACCTCAAGCACAGACACTGAGTGTTCGTGCTGAGGAAGGAAGGCAACGAGGCTCTTGAATGATGCATCGTGTTGCATGCAAAGTGAAAGAGCAGGAGATCTAGTTTTGCTTAACGGACCTTCCTCAAACCTCAGCTTTTCAAACTACTGATAAAAATTGTAACTACGTACCTTTATTGATGGTCTCTTTATCAAAAAACAAATAATCTTTGACGCGGGAACTGCAGTCATCCCCTCCCCAGAATCGGTCACAGACGCACTTTATTTCATTGCTACAAACCTGCAGCCAAAAATGTAGCTCAGAATAAAAAAATAAAATTAATTTATTCCAGTAATTAAACTACAGTATAGGTACAGTCATACAGCCCTGATTTTAACTGTCCGCAAAATTTTGCAAAACATTTCTAATATACAGCAATTTTAAGTGCATATATTAGATATTCACATAATGTATTAATTATATACAAATATGTGATATATATTAAATATATTAGTAGATTTTATGCATAATATATTTAATAAAGCCATTTTTAATTGCTTTGGCAGACAACCTCAAAAATTAGACTTTTTTGAAATATGATGAAATGGTTAATTTAAAATAATACAGTAAGTTTTAATGCAGTGCAGAAGAGGTAAGTCATTATGAGAGAATGATTCCTTTCATCTCAGGTCAGCTCTGGAGACTGTTTCAAACTCTGCGAGGGACAAAGGGCTTCTCCAGTGACCAGAGTGCAACATGCCACACCAAACCCATGAGCTGTGCACCAAGCACAGAAGTCAGCTCACTGCTCTCTTCTCTGACTGAAGTATCTCTTAGCCAACAAAATCCAATGACTTTATGACCCTGTTCAGCTGTTGACGCAATACAGAGGGAATTAAAAAGAGTATCTGGAAGAACAGAGACCCAGGTTTCTCAGAGGTGGGCAATAAAACCTATTGTCCAGTATATATGCCTGAGGAAATATGAATCAAGTTAGAGGAAGCAATGGTGAGAGAAGTAATTGTTAAAAATGTTTTTGTAAAAAGAACATGCATTTACTGCGATCCATATTTAGGATGCCCCGACTACAACGTATTCCACACAGTTAGGCGCCCCCACTCTCTCTTTCCTTTTCAAAAGCTTCTCCAGTATAAAGACTTCTCTGGTTACAATTCTGGCTTCCTGAAAGATCTGACAAGTACACTACACAACACCAGATATATTCAGGAAGAATGGCAAAAAGGATTAAAGAATATGAAAACATACGCCGTGCCCTGAACAAATTTGGTTTTCTGTGGTGCCTGGGCAGGTGCTGAAGTTGAAGGACTCGGTGGGGAGGCACCGATGCTCCAAGCACACCATGTTCGGCCCACACGGCGTCCCATTCTCCACGTAGCCCAGGTCCGTCTCCTCATCGAGCTTCACGTGGCCGCCACTGCAAGACAATCAAGAACATCCTGGAGACTGTGTGCTGTCACCAGATGGGACTGCTTGAGAAAGTGGGCTCTTGGCTGATACCTTCCTTTCTGTCTGTATTATCTGATGTGCAGAACTAGGAAAGAGGTGCAAGTATTGGCTTACTTATCCCATCAGTCCTACCGTAAAACCACCCAAAAATGCAGTACATCTACATCCGACAATTTAACTGTGAAAATGAAGACCATTCTTCTTGTACAAGAGCTGCTGAGTTTACTTGTATAGGACTTTATTTCATCTTACAATTGGGATTCAGCTAACACACGGCAACTTATTAAGCTGCCAGTTAGCTCTGGCTACTAGCTGTATGTCTAAGTATTTTAAGTATGCTAAGTACTTTACAAACATTAAGAAATGTAGTATCAAGAGGCCAGAGAAGAGCATTAAGTCTCTACAGGCAAAATTAACTACTGCACAGAGGGGCCTACAAAACAGCTACGTTCCTGATGCACAGTCACACACCTGAAGCTTAACAAGGCTGAGCTGAAATAACAGCCATAGGAAACTTACCTGCAATTGTATACTTTTCCAAACTGCAAGACTGACGATGTGATTTCACCATCAAGTTCTCCAAGTCTGGGCACACTAGATATATTGGAGCACAGAAGGTATCCACAAAGCACATCCCTGCATTGAGAGGTTAAACACTAAAAAGAATTCACTAATTCACTAAAAAGAAATCCAGTGAAAACAGACATTTAAAATAAATGTGTTTTTCTTCACCTGCTTTATGACACACTCGTTACACCTTGCTTTTTCTTCACTGATGGTAACTCCCATAAATAATGTCCTGCTTCCCAAGAAAATGATCCTCCTCTGAGCTTTGACTAGGGACAGAAGCTTTTTTATGAAGTATTATCAAAAATGCTCTGAGTGATAGCAAAGAGGGAGCTGTCAAGAACAGACCACATCAACTTGACTTAATATCCTATTAGGATACAGTAACAGGGTAGGTGGAGGAGAAGCAGCAGATGCTGGCTTTAGATAAAATCTCAGATGACATGTTTGTAAGGCAACTAGAGAAACAAAGTTTAACTGACCTCTTGCAGAGTGCTTTTACAAACTAGATGCAGGAGGGTTTCAGAGGGGTCTGTCCCCTCCAACATTATTTCAATACCTTTACTCATGAGTTTATAATGGAACAGGACGAAAGGTTATTGGATCTGAACAGAAAGTTGTGAAGAGGCATTAGTTCACCTGTAAACAGGATGAGAATCCAAATGGCATTAACAAAATGGAGAAGTCACCTGAAAAAGTGGCGTTTGATGAGGACAACAGAAAGGTTCAGAACTAGGCAGAAATAACCAACTGTAAAAAGACAGAATCTGAAACAATTGTTCAGGTAGCAACTTGCAGGAAAAGATCCGGAGGGTTACAATACAATGAAAACTGAACACAAGTCAGCAGTACAATGCCACAGCATAAAAGGTGGACACCACACCACCAGGATGTGAAGCAATGAATTGCCTCTGAGGCATAAGGAGTAACCCCTCTCCTCTACCCAGCACTGCCAAGACCTCATCGAGGGTCCTGCAACCACTTTGGTCTCAGCGCTTTAAGAAGAATAAGGGCCAACAGGAGACAGGTTAGAAGAGAGGCATGAGAATGATCAGTTCATACTCATGGCGGAAAAGAGGACAGGAATAGGAACAGAAAACATGATCTATGAGAATAAGAGTACGGAGCTGTGCTTTTCTGGCTTAAAGAAGAGAAGACTTGGGGAGGAACCTAATTAATAGTCTCCAGATTTGTAAAAGACTGCTGAAAAAGGAGGAAAAATCTGTTCTCTATGTCTGTACCCGTAGCACAAGAAACACAGCTTTAAAGTGTAAAGAGGTTCAGGTCAAACATTAAGGAAAACATCCTAATGACAAATCACTGAAGATTCTCAAAGGCCAAAGAAGCCATGTCTGTAATGACGCAGGTACAGCTAATTCTGCCTTGGTGCAGAGGGATGGGCTAGAAGACTTCCCAAAGTCCATTCCAATCATATTTTCTACATTTATGCTACTACTTCTTTAGGAGATACTTGTACTTAAGTAGACAAGTGCAATACCTGTAAATACCTGTAAAACTATAGTTCCTTATATAGAATAACATGGGACTTGATAACCCAGAAAACGACCAAACCTTCATCAAACAGCTGCTGCAGGGACCCATGATTTTCTCCGAACATAAGAACAAATATTCAGACTAGAAATACTCATGAAAGCTGACAGCCACACCAGGCAGGACATAGCTCCTTCATTTGAAACTCTGTTTGCAGCAGGGAAGATACATGACTCAGTTCCAAGCGTTCCCAAGGCTCAGACACTGCTTTCTTGTTTGAGATCACATCCTCTAGCTGCTCCTCTCCCTCAACACTTTGCCATGCTATGTTTGCAGAAGATGACCTCCTCAGGCCAGGAGGCAGCTCGTTGTATGGAGGCCTTTAGGGCCTCTTTATGCCAGCTAAAGAATGGGAGCAGAGATAAAAATCTCATAATAGCTTTTCTAAATGGATCGACTTACTGTTTATTGCACTGTATCCAAGAGTCCTTGTCTCTTCCACAGTTTCCTTTCTCAGTCCCTTCAATATTCAGTTTCTCATAGCAGTACCTGTCAGCAGCTGTCACTTCTAAAAACAGAAACAAAACTCTTCTAAGATGATGAAGACTTTTAAAAGCAAGGTGTTTGGGAAATAGGGACGCATAATCAAAGCAAGCAGGGCTTCCCAAATTGTGAACTGCAGTATCATGGCCTGCAGCTGCTCTGTGAAACTCTGCTAGCTGCCAGCGTTTCCAGGGAAAAGTTTTATGTTAGCAATACGTGACTGTTTTAAGATTTTGTATGTGGCCACGGTTTGTTGTCCCAAAACATCTGGAAGCCACTGGAATAAACCACATATGAGTGCAGTGTCCTTAGGTGGTTATTAATGAGAAGTTAAACCTGAGACTTTAGAATAATCATCAGTAGCTTAATCAATACTAGAGAAAGAGCTTGAAAAGAGGGTAAGATAAAGAGAGAGAGAGAGAGAGAGAGAGAGAGAGAGAGAGAAAATAAGAGTTGTGTGCCTCATCTCTTCAGCTGCCAGCCCATCTAAGCTATTCAGCAAAGGGTGCTCTGGAAGTACCACATTTTAGCACAAGCCCAGAAGGGCCTAATATCCTCACAGGAGGGACAGGTACTCAGAGATAGCTGCTCTTATGAGACTTCCAAATTAACTATGCCCATTTAAGGGATCCTGCTAAATTGAGTAAACTTTCAAAAAGCGTCAGAGCCTTTTGAGCCAGACTCCAAACCAAATTTAGACTCCCAGTTTTCTGTGGCTTGCGTAAGGAACTCTTTATCGTCTGCATTCCCTTGGTTTCCCGATATAAACGAAGCCATTCAAAATGTTATTAATCTACAAAAGGTCCTGTGTAAACAGATCACTGCAAGTCCAGCCTGCGCAGTGTTGATGTAATTGTGTAACGCATCTGACATTCAATAGTGGCATTCCATTTGACTGCACAGAAATTCCTGTAGGCCTTCAATATGGGGAAAAATAAGTTGTAAATGGCACCTTTCAAATTACAATACAACCTATTCCCTTGTTTTCCAGTTATAAAATAATCAAATCTCTATTAAACTTGGTATATTGCCAGTCATGCACAAAACACTATAAAGTGAGAAAAACAATTACAGAAATGTTGCACTTGAAAAGACAAAGAAAACTATTTGTTTTATCATCCAGACCAAAAGAGTCACTAACGTCTTCCTATTCGTTACTGTGGTTGTCATACAACATACCTAAGTTCTCTGGAACTTACATAGCCTTAACTGAATGTTTTCTAAATACATATTTTGCTTTCCAATAAATAGCATTATTCTCAGCAGCAGATAGACATTTTTCCGGAAAGCCTTGTCCTTTAAACAAGGTATGTAGCCTAAATGCTGGTCTGCAGAGCTCTCGTTAGAGAGTATCCATTACAATTTTTTTTTTTAATCTTTCTTTCATTCCAGTTAAGGCTGCAGGTCTGACGAATGCACGGTTCCTGCCAGTAAAAGATAGTGTGGGAATCACTATCTTATGAAAAAGGTGAAATATTCAGTACTAGAGAACCGACAGAAAAATTACATAGGTGACAAAAGGATGAAAAATATAAACTTAAAGAACTGTATTTAAAGTTTTAGGACTCCAAAAATTGCTCCAAAGGGGGGGAAAAAAAGCCCTAAAACTGAAGGGCAAAGTTCAAGGTAGAGCAGAGTTCTAGATCACAGTGAATGTTTTTCACAGTATGCAGTCCCAGTTGATTTCTTCTGTTTCCAGTGGTTCTGAATATGTCTCCTTCCATAACCGTTCTCAGATAAGATAATCTTTCAAGTCATATGAATGATAACCACCTAGAAAGAGTATTTACTCACTTTCTCCCCAGATATATTTACACTGTCGGTCCCTGGTTTTACATCTTCCTCCAAAACAAATACCCTGAAGAGAAAGAAAAGACACAGAAACAACTTTAGCATACAGACTTGTCACATATTTTCTAATGAAATAAACACATAATATGTGATTCTGTTTTCTAGGTTGTTTATTTAAAGGATTAGTTCCAAAATTTGATTAAAATTCAAAATTCAGTAATGTCAGTGGAAATGTCCCAGCTGACTTCTGGAAATCTTAAACCAAATTCTAAAAAACAAATTCAAATGTTCATTACCTGTTTGTTATCGCATGAATATCCATCCATTTTATGAATATTGGGAGAACACTACAGGAAAAGAAAATAACTAATAGATAATTCAGATAATCATGAAAACAAAGTCTACAACAAAGGAGAGGATTGGCACATGGAAAATTATTTAACTATCTATCATGCTTTCCTTCTGGACATGTAACAGGTTTAATACAAGTTTTATACAACTTACTATACAAAACAGCAGCATTCATACTGACCTTCTACAGGCATTTTTTTTCATTTCTTGGATAGAAGAAATAAAAATTACCTGGCTGGAATTCCCTGTGCAGTTCTCCGCAATATCACAATCATTCACTGCTTCTCGGCACAAAACTCCTTTAGGTTCAAACTGAAAAAAGGACAGAAAGTCAGTGTCTCAGTTTCTCTGTATCTTGTTTTGAATGCAATACTTCCCTACAGTTTTAACTAAAATTAAAAAAGGGAAATTTCGCAGTGCTGACTGAAGTAGAAAGATTTTCTTTTGCTCATTCTGGACTTTCCAACAATCAATCTACAGCCGCTTACTCAAGCGCCACCTTTCTCAGAGGCATCACCTGTCAAGTGCATTGAGCACGGGACATGCCAGAGTAAGCGCTGTCCCAGGATGCAGGACTCCTGGGGTCTATCAAATCAGCACTGTAGTGGCTTGTAGCATTATCCTGGCCAGATTATTTCATGTTTTTGTGACTCCTTTATCACTCTGTGGAACACAGAGAACAATTCTGACTTTCTTTGAGAATTGCTTTAAGATCTATGGATGGAGAGTGCTACAGATCTCTAGGTGTAATCACTGTGGTTATTAGAAAGCCCCGTTGCTGTTGTAGAACAGAAACTACTCATAAATGTATTGGATCCCATATGATTTGATACCAATTTCCAAAGAGACCAGAACAATGAAAAACATACCAGTGACCTAACATACGCATTTGCGATCTGATTAAAGACTTCTGTACCACTGTAAAGTCCCAAGACCTGTAAAAACAGGAAGACATCCCACTAGAGGTGACTATCTGTGCTTAGCTTTGTTCCAGGTCAGAATCGCTTTCCCCTATTCAGTCACGTCACTGGACACGGACGTACTACAAAACTCTTGTTTTCCCTGGAAGGTTTCTTAATCTGTGCTATCCAGTTCATTCTGCAACTCTGTGCCTTCTTTCTGGATCTGGATGCACATTTAGGACAGCTGCTAACTCATCAGCTACTGTGAACTAGCATACATCCATGGAAGAGCTAGACTCTAAAGGCCTTCTCAGCCGTGAGCTCATCTTTCCCAACCCCATCTATGAAAAATCCAGATAGACAGCAATGTCAGAGATACTCTGAGACACAGGGATGTGTCTCCTCACCTTGTTTTGTTTGCAATCCTACTTTGACTCCTCCTTTCAGGTAGGGCATTATAGGAAAAGGTTACTTCAAGTTTGGGAACTGCTAATACAAAGTCTTTTGAGTTGTTCTCACTAAGGCCTCAGGATACATTTTGCAAAATACTGCCTTTCTCTTCAGTAGCTCGCCCTCACCATTCTGTGTGTACACAAGTCATTACTCTCATTTTCAAAAATAATGTAAATAGAAGCTTTTTTTTTTTCTGAGAGTCTTTAATATGGTGCCAATGTTACTTGGATACTCAAACAAAATTCACCCACAATGGCATTCTGTTAATTTTTTATATTACATTTAAAAAGGGAATGCGCTTAGGAAACATCATCTGTTCCAGCATAATCTGTGGTTTTTTCTTTTTTTACCATGAAGATGAGCACAAAGTCAAGAATGTGGTCCACAGCTGTTATTAATGTTCCTCCTACGGAAGTGAAACCCTCAAATGCCCACAGATGAAGACAAAAACGTCACACATGGTACACTGCAGTATTAATAACATAAATAATAATAGCAATAATAATCATAATAGTAGTAATAATAATAATAATAATAATTGAGTATCAACAATTGTTTGAAGCCATGTTTAGCTGGGCTGCCTTTCAGATCTGCCTAGATCTCCTTTCACTAATTATTGATATATCAGGAAGAATATCTTGTAATTAATACGGGGCTTAATTCCCTTTACTCAGTGGATTTTCAGTCAGACCAAGCATAAAGAGACACAGAAAGACTTGACTGAAACTAAAGTCAGGTGTCTTAGGTACACTTTTTAAAGGCACTTTTGGTTTTTTTGGTTTTTTAACTATACCCTTCCCTCTCAGGCCCCTCATTGTATGATTTTCCCATTCAGTTTCATAGGGGCAAATTCAGAGCGACATGTAAGACATTACAGAATTGACACGTTGGCAAACATGCGCATGTTTGAATAAATCTGTCTAATGGAATCTCATGGAACTTTCAGTTGATTCCAGCTTATCTGAAACTGGAAGGCTTCGACTCACCTCTCTGTCTGATTACAGCCCCTGCCCTAAAAAGTCAAGTCCAGAAGACAGAAAATAGCCAAAGACGAGTTTTCAGTCAATTCTAAAAGGCAAACTTTCAGAAAAGGAAACACAAGATCTGACAGCAAAAATACACGTGCTGCGGTGCCTCTATTCACACGAGCGTATTATTGCCAGGACGCTGCAGTAAAGGTCACTGCACTTACCCGACACTTTCTGCAGCAAAGCCCGTTACTGCACTGGGAGCCTGCAGTCAGGGTGCACGTATTGCAGCACTCTCCTCCCTCACTGGCGCACTCCTAAGGAAAATACACACTTATAAGAAAACCCACGGGAAAAGCAGATGACCCCTAAACTCTTCTACTCCTTATTGCTTTAACGTGCTACTGGAACAGATTTTAACCAGGCCTCTAGGCACCTAGCGGCAGAAAAAAAAAATCAACAAACGCTGCGGGGACTAAAGCTGTTTGCTATACCATACTGGAAATACTTGTATTAACTTCACGGTGTCTATCATGAAATACTGACATTTCAGCATTGACCAGGACCACATTTCCATCTAGGAACATACTCTCTCAAACACCTTTTAAGGCTTGATTCTGCAGTGGTAGTTCTTGCTATTACTCTTTAAGATTTACGTGGTGATAGAATAAAAAAGCTGGCCCACACTGTGTTAAACATGATGGAAATAGGTAAGAAATGAAGAATCCCAGGACCTTAACATTGCCTGCCTTCCTCCACTTAATGCCAAAGGCAGTTATGGGCAGCAACACGTCCTGCAGAAGCCAGTCACTAAGTTACAGTACATTGCACTTACTGCAATAGTCCCACAGTCACATTCTTCTCCATCTTCCACAAAACCATTGCCACATTCTGGAGGATCCAGAAGCTGCAGGGCAAAATTAGAAATCAAAGGACATGTCTTTCCTAAGGGAAGCACTGTCATATTTATTCCGCACAATATGTTTTTTAGCTAGCACTCCAAATGCATTACCAAAAAAACAGTACCCACAACTCAGGGAGAATCAGATTAGAAATAACACAAATGAAACATGCGGAGAATAACCAACCCCATGAATTAATTCAGCAATACTGCAGAGCAACATAGCATCATCTATCTCAGAGTGCCATTTTTATAGCAGATTCAGTCTGCGCAAAAGCTACAATCAAAAATAAGAAGTGCAACAATAAAGGAAAAATTTTCTAAAAATACAGCACTTGCATTATAGTTAGACAGGCTGCAACTGTTGTTGCATTCAAGAGATGAAGGCTGTGTCCCAGGTTCAACTCCGCGTTATACCTTGAGAAGGAAAAGCCATAAAAAATTGTCCTTTGGAAGCAAGTAGCACAGAAATGAAGGGAGAGGCTGTGACTCTTTATTTAGTCTTTGCTACAGTCAGATGCTACTTCCTTCTCTTTTGCTATACCATACTTTCAAATTTGCAGCAGTTTTCAACAAGCATGTGTCACAGCTACGTGAGAAAGCACAACTGATACAGCTTCTGCCCTTCTCCACTTTCTCTTCACCCTCCCCGTTAAGCTGCAACTTTAAATGTCTAAATCTGTGTATCTGTAGTAGTAATAATTTCCTTTCCCACAGGCAAGATTCACTCACCATTTTTTAATAAGGACCCATGCTTTGCTCCCTTTTAATGGACCCCTTATACTTTGTTCTTTCCTGTTTCATTGTCTCCCTTACTCTAAACTTTCTAAAGGTAATTCCTCAGAAAGAGAAAAAAGTTTTTCTTTGGGCATAAGAAAACATAATAGTTAACTTTTTATTGCATAAATTAGAAGGTATATAAGCATCTCACCAAGACAGATAGCCTAAAATTCTGCAGACTGTCCTTCCAGCTCTCCAGTTAAACTAGGATCATTCCAGAAACCACTGTGCTTGCAAGCCATCTGCGCGAGTAAATCATTCGTGGTGTACAGTTCCCTTCTCGCTGCTGCTGCTGCTGCCTTTCTGCCAGTAGCCCACAGGCTGGAGTATCACCACGCACACCTCAGCGGTGCCACAAACCAGCTTGAGGTTTGTGGCACAGTGTGACACGCTACTATGAGATACCTCTTTGAAATGGAAATTTGACTACAGCTTGAAATGCATGGGTAGAACGTTACATTAAATATAAGCAAGTGACTTTCCTTTAGAATCATTAAATAGTCATTCAAACTGCTTGCCTCCTAGATATTTTTTCAGATATCTTAATTTCTTCAGTATCTCTAGGTGTGCTGCACAAGTAGATTGAAAAACAAGGGGTCCTGCCATAAAACGTAGGACCAATTTGCTGCAGAACATAGGGCCAACTAAATATTAAATAAAAGGAAAAATATGAAAAGCAAATTAGGTAACCTTTCCGCAAAAGTCTTCATTTAATTCAATTATTCATTTAAAAAGGCCATATGCTCAATATGCTCCAGCAGTCATTAAAGTAACTTTAGTGATTAAGGCTGATCTTACAGTGGAGCACTGCAGAAGACTGCACCTTACACATCATGTTTCCTTTATTTTGTATTTCTTTAAAAATAAGTTTATGTTTTACCACGCTTGCTGGGAAACAAGCGTGGTAAAACCCATTGTTAATAACTGTAAAACAACTCAAATAACATGAAAGTACATGAAAGATTCAGTCACCCTGGCTTCCACGTCTGACCCTCACATTTTCATGTCCCATGAGAAAAAAATGCAAATGCTGCTAATCTAAATTGATATGAGAGTAAATTGCTTTTCTTTTTTTCCAAGTGACAGATGTGCAGTGAATAAAATCGCTAAACTAGCCCAAGCAAGATAGCATTATGTTAGGGAAAGAAGCCACTCAACAAAGAAATAAAACCATCAATATTTCTCTCTGCCTGTAATGAGATGGAAAAAGTAAACTTCTAAAAAGCAGGCTTGTGTATCTATCCTATCAATGAATTACAGTGCTCTCTCTCTCACTTGTAATAATACGTACTTCCATGAAACATTTTGCAGAGATAAGCATATACAAACATTTGCTTACAGTCATCAAAACAGAAGATGGTGTTTTACGTGTGAACCTCTAGAGGGGGCTTTCAGTAGGTGCTAAGCACCAGAAAAACAAACAAACCAGAAAAAAACAAACTCATTCTTGTTTATTTATTAGTAACATCAGTTCTCTCATAATAAATACTCAAATCTGCAACTCTTACGGTTTCCAAATCTGATGCTTTCTCCTCCTCTCTTTCTAATTTTTATTGAAATTCTGTGGCCGTAGAATCGGTCAGAAGTTGTACTTTTTCTTCAGCCGCTCCAGAAGGAACATACTTGCTCCAGTATCAACTTTCTCTTTTACATTTGTGACCACCTCAGCTGCCAAGCCTTTTTTCCAAGTTAGACTGTCTCTCTGCCTTAGCCTATCTCCTTTGCTTGTTGAAAGACAACCATTAAATAGAGGTTAACACTCATTATATACAGGGAAGAGTCACAATTATCATCTCGAGCAGAGCCCAGTGATGAGCCGCGCAGCCAGGGCCTGCTGCTGCCACGCAGCTCCCGAAGAGCACGAGGAACACCCCTATGACATCTGTCCTCTGCGGCTCGGGGCTTTCTCTCTCGCTCTGCCTCTCCTAGCATTTGAGATATTAGTTGCAGCTCTCAAACACTGCTGTGAAGAGCTACCATAAAATCTTTTCAGAGAATTGTAGGAAAGAGGGGAAACAGTCTCTTGATGGTGAAACCACAGTTACTTCAGAAGGTGCCAAAATTTATTTAATCTTTCTCTGAGGACAAAAAGCATTAACTTTGCCTTCTCCAATTCAGAGAATAACCAAAGCCACTGGTAACAACCGCTGTCCAAAAAGCAGCTTGCTGCAAGGCTGTGCACTCACTGGACACGTTCTAGGAGCTCTATCTTATTATCCTTGGGATAGATGTGAAACAAAAGCCATCTTTCTTCACCTTCCAGAGAACTGCACCAGATGACATCAGTTCAAAGCAAATTAAAATTACAGTAGTGCAAAGTTTACCAAGACACTGGAAAACTCAGCACATAAATTCAACAGCATATTGTAATTACAATGTACTGAAGAAAACTGCATGAAGGATGGTTCTATATTGAAGCCTGCAAGAATTGCGCTGGGCATGAAACCACCTATTAAAAAATTATTTAAATACCATTATCAAACTCATATGAATTAAAATCAGCTACTTTCACCAAGCTGTCACCAGGAAATGTGGAACTTAGGACCAGAAATCTCAAAATTACAGATTTTTTTCCCCCTCATAATACTGCTTTTAGTCTTCTTTGTTTCATCTATATTAGAAATACAACAGAAGTAATACTCAAAAATAAGGTAATATTTACCTTGGTGGGTTTATTGAAAAGGCAAGCTCCACCTCCACTGTTTAAAAATTCATGATACTCTTCAATGTCACACTTGGAGAACTTGCTTGGAAGATAATACCTGCAAAGAAATGAGATAGCAGGATTATTTTCTATAGTGCTTTTTGAAGTATATCTTCTTTTTGAAAATACAGAGAGGAGAAACACATAGTTATACTCTATGAAAAGTGCTACCGTTCACAGTTCAGAACCAGAGTGAAGACATCTGCTTGTAACTCATTCCAATGGGTAAATCATTTTCTTAAAGGGCAAACAACTTTTAACAATGAGGTAGAGCTTGCATAAAGTGAGAAGTTAAAAAGATTTCTCTAAGAGTTCTTTTACACCAAATATCATAAATCATTATACAATATATAGTTCTCACAAACATGACCAGTCCCACTAAAGGACCTGATCTCAGAAATGCATTTATTTTTTCCCGTATATACTGTAGGAGACGACTGCTGCCTTTCCAACACAGGGTTCGATTGCTCACAGTTCATTTCCCTCTTAGAAGAAACTGCAGTCCAGGCCCACAGAACTTTTATATAACACTGTCATGCTGTTTTCAGACAAGCTTCTAACCAACATCAGTTAACATTTCTGCTATCCTCTCTTGTGCCCCCCTGAATAAATTTCATTCCAGTGCAGAGTGTCAATATAAGGCACAGCGCACCGCTTAAAAATAATACGAGCTTTAATTGATGCAGAGAATCTTTGCATGGATCCTTTCCACAGGGAAAGAATTTTCCCCTAAGTAACCTGAGTTATCGTTATATTTAGGTCCTTAGTCACAAGAGTATTTATGCATCAATCAAATTTTAGAGTCTTAAGGGCCTTCCTGTATCATGCTTATCACTGGATAAAAACATATTAGCAAAAGTGCTATACAAAGCAATCCTGCAGTGCCAGGAATAGCGGCTTGCAGAACATAACTGGCCTTTTCCATCTCTGGTGTTCATGATTTGGATCTAAAGATTACACAGAATGTAGGATTCATCATCCTGAAAGCATCTTTGTAAATATATGATATTATTTTGTATATAATTATTTGAAAGGTTCGGATTAGATAAAGAATCTAAAGATCATTACAGAAGTCGTCACTTTTTACAAGAAATAAGGAGGCTTCCCAAGTTTGTTTTTAACCTGTTAAAAACAGAAAAATGCTACTTGGTACGCCTCTAGGTAAACAAGACTTAAAAACAGAACACGTGCACTTCCAAGGAGCTTTGAATGAAGCATGCTTTTTTTTTGTTCACAAAGTATACTGACAATAAAGCTATCAGGAAAATTTATATATCAGATTGAAATACCTTTAAAAACATAGAGCACTATCTTTATCTAAAACCAGACTATAGTTTAGTTCATAGGCATGACAGAAGACAGTTCTGTAATATAGAGAATTAAGGCCCAAATGCACACTCTAGGGAGCATGATTAAATTTCACCTAAAAGCAAACACTTCCTAATGCACTAAAAGTTATTCTTTACCTAAAATCTCTATAGTGACTTTATTTGTGGGTACATGTATACTAAGGATCTAAAGGTAGAGGGCTTTTTAAGATATTACACAAATTGGGGGTAAAAAAAATTAAAAATACATATGAAAGATGTATGTAGAACCACAAAAAATGCATATACATTAGAAATCTGATCACAGCATTTCAAGAACTTGGATGCATCATGACCTTTTCCCCCAACTCAAGAGCAAATTCACAGGAGAAAACAAGTTAAACATGATTCTGCTTCTTTCACAATGAACTGGCTTGGCTGTTGAGCTGCTGTTCTTTGTGTGTTCAACTAGCAGTCACTAAGAACCCTCTCTTATCATTATCTCATATATTCACACACTTCTTTGCAGGTGTTTTTTCTAAGTATGCTGTACAGATAATACCTTACTTTCTGAAAAATAATTCACAGAAAATATTCCGCTGAAACACAAAAGGCATCTATTTTCATGCTCTTCCTTTAAGTCATTGTATGAATGACATGAATTTCCTCCAGTGAAATGCTTACCCTGTGTCTCCCATTATGCATCCAGACCATGTGTCCTCACACTTACACTCACCTGACAATAAAAAGTAAAATTTACACATTGAGTCTTGTAAGAGTCCAAAATAATACATTTCTTAATGCAAAATCACACTGTAGTCATCTCATTTTACATTTAAATATAATCTGAAAAGAAGCATGTGCTATTTCATTGCACACCTTAACTTAAGCATTTGTGTCCACACTGACAAACGTTCTCTCAAAACCTATACATGTTTCTACGCAGTTCTGAGCTTTGAAACATGTCTTGTTTCTCCTTCCTTCTCTTAAATGAAGACAGAGGAAACTGCACTGGCAGCCTCAGGCACCTGCAAATCATGAGTCAGCTCTCCCTCTTTCTCCCAAGTCATAGTACTGGATTTCCACATTTTCAGAGCAAAAAAAAAGGACATGTTTTACCACATCTTAGAATTTTTCAGTTCTTTTCTACTACTACACCACTGTGACTGGAGAAATCTCAGCTTAAAAAAAATAATCACTGATGCACACAAAAACACACAGCGTGGTTTGTAAACACAACTAAGTACAGGAGCGTATAGTAGCTTTCTCCTTCCCTCTCCCTCCTTTCCCTTCCTGCCTCTTCCCCACACGACTCACTGGCAGAGCACAGACATCCCTTCTGCTCCGCAATGGTATTGCTTTGCTCTGCTCTCAGCCCTCCATTTCCAAAACTGTATTTTGTACACTTTTCTGTACATATGCTCTGCATGTGTGCTTTTTTCCTTCTGTTTCTGCAATGTGCCTTACTGTAATACACAAACATCAGTTTACTGCTTCCATCTCAGAGGTACAAGTAAAAAGGAAATGAGGCTCTGCCCATCAGGTTTTTCTTCCCCCCCTCCCCTCAAAAACTTGTGCTTTCACTCTGCTCAGCCATAAGACAAGGGCAGCCACCACTGTTATTTTCACTTTCCTTCTGCGCCCATATCAAGTTAATAATATGCAGCTGGAAAATGAATATTGAACATGCAGGCAGCATAGACCATCTTTCCTACATTTCTGAATATTTTTCAAAATAAAATTATGTAATCTGCAGAAACTTTTATACGTGGATATATCTTTCCATTATCTACTGTCTTTAGAATAGCTGAAAACAAAATTCATCTAAAAAGAGTTCTATCATTCAATATAGTAATTATGTTATTTTTTCATATGCTCATTTTAAAAAAAAGTTATAATCTTGTTTTTTCATTAGCTATATATGTATACGTGATCTAATAACTAAGCATTCCATCATCCAAATGGTTTTAAAACTGTATTATTGTTTCAATCATCCACGGTTCTCAGTGTGGTGGGACTTTGTACAAAGCGGAACCAGCGAGGGTGAGATGCTTGTGGGGGAAGATGTCAGTTAAGCGGATGCAGGTAAACAGGGTTTACCAAGAAGTTGAATACCAAGGTCAGACATATGGTAGCAGTGCAGTGGTGAGTACAGGAGACTGGGGTAATAAAGAACAAGAGGAATCCACTCAAAGTAAAGAGGGGCAAAACTGTGTTCTAAAAAACTACCCTGCATCATAGGACTGAGGTGGCTCCTCATTATCCCTCGCTCTAATAATTTATGTCTACCTTTGCACATTACGATAGCAGCCATTTAGTTGGCAGGATTGACATCAGTCTCACTGAAATCAATGGAGGTGGCAGACATCTTTACGATCTATTTTTAGTGAAATGGTGACATCAGTGCTACTGGTAATTATCAGTGGGAGACAGCATTTTTACAGAGAAAAATTCATGATATGTCAGTCTCTCCTTGTCTTATTACAAGAAAAGTAAAAATATTCCAATATTGTGAGAGCCACGGTAAAAAATCATATACGTAAGATCCTCCAACTGTTTAGATCCTCTCTTGAGAGAGGGTGAAAAAGCAAAGAAACTTACCACTTAGTAGTTTTCTTCTGTCTGAGAAAATGCCAATGTTTTGGGCTAAAGTCTGTGCCAGAGTAACTGCCATTAAATCTGGCTTTCCAAACTGAAAGAAATAAGCAAGGCAGGAGCAGTAATCAATTAGATATAAGCATCTCAGATACCAGTTAAGCTTTTCTCATTTAAAGGTAATATTTTAAGGCAAAATCTGATGCAAAACGTTGTAGCTCTTTACTTCAGCGCAGCTACATAAAGGGCAAGTGAGGAAGACCAAAGGCTGGCTTAAGAACAGTAAGAGAAACTGGTTTTTTTCTTGCCATTGTGGCTGCAAGTATGAATGACAAGATCAGACACTACTGAGAAGCGTATGTGAACCCATACCTGACTTTATTCAAGCACCATTCTTTACTGAAACATTCCTTCTACGTAGCTGTACTAAAACTGCATCAACCATGAAACAGCAAGATGTTCTGAGAAACTTGTCTGCACAGATAAATTCTGTGTTTTCCACCACTTTTTGCTCTTATCGATGTCAACACCTACCTCATTCACACCTCCGCCCTTAAGCAAGGAACAGATTCCACCGGTGTGGGCTACACCACTCCGACTGCTCTGAAATCGACTCCCCCTTTGACAAAAAGGAGAAGAAAAGAAGTTCACCTCACTCAGCCCATGAGTTTTTCACCTAACCATCCCAGTATTTACCTTTCTCATCTCCAGATAAGACACCAGCATTTGCAAATGCCAATTGCCACCACCATGCTGCAAACTATGCAAAAACAAAATGTAGAAAGGGGGAAAAGATAACCGTTCACAAACCTCACATGAAAACCTTTCTAAACTGTCTCCAGAAAAGTGATACCATCTTCCCATCTCCTCCTCCGATTACCTAGTATGAGAAAGCTTAAGATGAGAAGGGGACTATTTTGCCAAATCACCCGCATCTCACCAGCCATTTGTTTGCTTACATACTACGTTAGCACAAGGACTTCAGCAGCCTGTACTGGCATGAGCTACAGACAGTGAGAGGGACCACTATGGTGCCAAAGCACAAGGCTTCTGCAGTAACGGGCAACCGGTTAAAAGATACATGTCTAGCTGGGCCACGGAGATGCGACAAAGGTGAAAGGTTTAGGTGAAAAGTTTTACCACGTAGTCTGTACTCTCTGATGCAGAGGCAGGTGAAAACTCCCTTGAATTGCAGGCAATTTAATCCAGGAGATAATTATTCTGTGAGTCTAAATCTGATGATCATGTCAGCACAAACGACTGCCAGGCACTAGACACGAAAGATACTCTCTACCACTGATCCATATCAGCTGTGAAGAGCTGATTTTTCAAAGGAAAACAGAAAAACATCAAGAAATAGAATGCAACTAGTTAATTGTGCTGAGGGCAGAAGTCCATTTGTAAATCATGTACCATCACACCAGCCAATCTGACATCCCAACTCAACAGTGCCTTACTAAAGGACGCAATTTGAGAATTTGGTATCTCTAAATAATCTATGAATGCAATACCTCAAACACCATCCTCACTGTTGCTGTCATGGTCAGTATTGGAATTAGTATTACAGTGGTATCCAGAGTCCCCATTACAGGGACATACAGGACCCTCTTTGTCATAGTTAATCCACAAACACTCAGAAAAACAGGACTTGCCCCAAAGAGCTTACAGTATAACCAGAGAAGATACACGAAAGAAAGGGGAGAAAAACTGATTCCCATTTTACAGATGAAAAACTGAGAAACAGAGGAATCAAAAACTGCAGGCACCAACTGCAGATCTCTTCCTATAAGTCGTCAATGACTGTAACTAAGTGTGTGCAAAAAAATTTAAGAGGCTGGATACTGCAGTTGAGCAAGCTGTCTCCTAGCTTAAGTTGAGTGAAAGTGAGGTTTTAAGCTACGTTTCTTCATGTAGGCTCCTAAAACGTCAGCACAGAGAGATAAGGACTCTCACAGAGCAATTCATCTGGCCTGTGTCACGTGGGTCAAAAACCTCAGTCGTGAACCTTTCCTCTATTTCTGTACACATCCTTTGTTATAGCAATCTTATTACCAAAATAATTGAGAGATTTAGAGAAAATAATATCCCTCCTAGCTCACTATTCTTGTAGTGCACATTTCTCTGAAGATTAAACTGTTTAGAGGAACTGAAACGCTTCAGAAATCTCACAGCGTGGAGGTCATTCAACAAAGTAAAGCAGGCCATATTGCGTTTTCTGCTTTTAAGCAGAAATCCTCATTGCTTTCAAAGCACACATTCTGCTTTTAAATATTACAGCAAGGCTGTCAACGCTTTATTGCAGCAGAAGCAAACCTACGACATGGAGCCGTGCATTACCTTCCAGGCAGCTGTGGCTGCGCTTGCAGAGTAGTAAATTGCACAGAATAACCAAAGATCACAGCACATGCAGTTTGTGCTTAGTAAGTTAAAACTAAAATGAGAGTAAAACCTCCAGTTGCACTGCCGAGCACTTTGTGCATAATTCTAACTCTTCTCCCACCTCCCCATCAGCAACAGAAATGTTTTGAATTATTGTGGATTATATACATAACAGAAAGGCGATGCAACAGCCACTTGTGATAAGCAACCCCCAAGGTACGAAAAAAGCAGTAAGAAAACATCATACGAGGTTACGTACGAAAAAAGGTGAACTGCGTCACTTTTCTCTCTGATAAAATCCCTCCTATATTTCATAAACTCACGTAGGGTCACCAAGGGGTTTTCAGAGATGGTGAACTTGTTATCAGTAGCCCAGGTTTCCATGGCAACCAATACTATCCTGGTGTTAAGTTGTTCTTTATATATCTAGTACATTAACAGAATGAACAAATATATTATGTCAAGTAGAATAAAGGTGCTTTTTATCCCTTTTCTGCAATAGCTTGCATACGTAAATACTTAGTTTGTACTAATACACGTGGTTCTCCTGTGCGGTTATATCTCCCTCAAAACCAATCAACAAGCAAAACAAAAACTAAGCAAAATCTAGATTTTTTAATAAGTTCTCTTATGCTGAAAACAGACTCCTTGCAGGTTCATAGAAAATGAAAGGCTCTATAAAGATTCATAGAAATGAAGTGTGATTTTTGCAAATGACTACAGAACCGTTTCAAACAGATCAAGGACTTGGAATTTATCTGTCTTTTATAATGTCCAGAACACCTCAGTGACACAAAAGAAATGACTTCTACTTAAAAAAAGCTGCTTTTACTTGTACATTGCCTCTTCGGTAGTACTTAACCTCATACTGGCTGACTCATGCAAAATGGGGCCATCCTTTGACTACTGGGGGTTAATAGTCCACACCAAAAGGTTTCAAGAGTGGGAGCAGCATTTTTCATCTTCAAGCAGTAGAATTTTCTGGAGAGAGGCATAAAAGCCTCGTTTGATCCTGATTTGATTCATGTGAACTCATTTGATTCAGCATCACAGCTATAATCCACATAATCCATCTGCATGGATTGTTCCTATTTTAATTAATTTACTCAAATGGGTATTTTTTGAGAAATTTTAGTGCATTCTAATTTTAGATTGTCTTTTAGTTTCAGCCACAGTCAACAAAAGAACCTGGGTTAAACACTGTCATATCTAAGGTGCTCTTCACAATTCAAATTCAAGGAGTCAATCCAGCAGGGTACTTAAATCTTTGAAGCCACAAAAAATCTCTTATCCTTTATGTTAGAAAAGAGGTTTATAGGTGGCCGACTTTGGTTCTACATGAAACTTTGTGATCTTCACATACGTTATTATTAGGTATACCATGAACAGTCAATTCCTGCAATTATCAGTAGGATAATCATATGACTCATCTGACAAGTAGAAAAACATTTAGTTGAGTGATACTTACTAAATCTGCCATGTTGACAACTGATTTAGCATAGCTATTTGTATGGCCAACTGATAGGCGGTGCTTTTTACACTGTGAAACAAACACAGGCAAGTTACAAACACAGATCTTAGAAAGAACCTACTTAATTTCCAAAAAAGCATGGAGTAAAAAGCAACTGTATCAACAGTAGAGCCTCTCTGCAATGCCGGGTCTTCTGCGCGAAATGTACTGTTAGTAAGCGATAGCAGAAAATCACTCAGAAACGCACATTACCAACGTGCTTCACAAAAGCTACTGTAAGGATCTAGTCATTAATGTTTGGAAAGTACCTTGAGATCTTTACTGAAAAATGCTATAGGAGCAGGAACACATTATTCTCTTCACTATCTTTATTACTGGCATTTAAAAAGTAATTTCCAAATGCCAGTACAGAAGTTAGCAACACAACTTCCACAGCTGAAATTTCTTCAGAGCTGTTATGCCAACTTTGCCTGCATCCATGTTTTAATTTATGAGACCTTATTTTTTTTCCAGTTCTTGTCTCTCTTAAGTCTTCTTTTGGGTTTCTTCATTCACAATATTATATTGCAGAATTCCACAGAAACTGGTGGCATCTGCAGTGGTATCTTTACTGAAATCTGTATTACACTTCTATAAAGAAGACATTTTACACTGCAGATAGCTTTCCAGGTACTCCTATCTATCTGTTGAAAAACAGTTATAAATGAGCACCAGGGGAATAAAAGTGTCAACTATCTTAGAAGAATTTAAGACATAAAGGTAAAGATTTTCTGAAGTGTTTAATCACCTCGGACTCCAAGAAGCTTGACTTTGGAGGCAAAGCGCTCGATAATTTCTAAAAGTTAGGGTCTTTCAGTGCGTAAGAGGAAGAGGAGGGCAAAAAGCACCAAGAACAAGGCGTTAACGAAAAAGTTACACTTAATAAGATAGCAGAAGGACTGTGAGGAGAAAAATGGCATAAAGAATGAAATGAAAGATGCACAATATAAATAGAAAATAAAAGCACAGGAATGAAGGAAAACACGTATACCACTCAAGTCTCTACTAGAAAATAAAATCACAGCCTTCAGGCCTCCAAGCTTTTTTAAGCATTTTATGGAAATGCTTTAAGTATATCAATTGCTTGATCTGCACTCCCTGCAACCCTGAGGTCTCGCCCATGACGTGATGGGGCTGAATCAGCCGTTTCCAATGAACATGTTTTCTGGGGAATATAAGAAAGGGGTTTCTCAGGCAACAAGCACATGGAGGAAGAGAGGCCCTGGAACCCCCAGATGAGGGCTTTTTGCCATGTCTGAAGACCATCTAGGAAGGAAGAATGATCCAACCTGCTCCAATGGTGACAACCTCCTGCTGTCTCTCCCAGAGGTTCCCTAGAGTGGGAGGATGCTGTGTGCCTACACCCACTCTGCGCACCTCTGCAGGGCTTCAGCTCCATGCTGAGCGCATCTACCGCCACATCTACCGCACAGCCACAGAATAATCCAAATGTACATGCACACTAGCCCCAGCCATGGGGAAAGGAAAAAGGCCAGAGAGCATGGCCCTTCCTTGTCACTGAGGAAAGTATGCGGCTTATCTAGCCACAGATAAGCCACAGATGAGTTAGTGGCTTATCTAGCCACTAACATTTGCTTCCGAGAACTCTCTCTTTAGTGGACTGACTCTCACATTAGCAACAATTAACCAAAAGTAGGAAGTGTTGCCCTTGGGAGGAAATCAATGGGCAAATTGTGGCTTCAGGTCTTCAGGCTCAAACACAACCACACCAATTCAGGGAATTCTGCATCCAGTGTTATCTACTCTCATCAACAAATTTACTGCTACATTCACCAAACCGAACTGACAGAGGAATACAATGTTATCCAAAAATTGCCCAAGGACAGTAACAGTCCTTTTAGACTCGAATGTCTATTTTTGTCAGTTTGGGTATTGCTTGAGAGAAGCTGCACATTACAGAAAGGGTACATAAAATCTATAATTGAGTTTAAAGTCATAAATGACCATAAAATCATCTAATGTCACCAGTCTAAGGGGCATCACCAGTCTCAGAATTTATCCAGTTCCTTCATTATTGGATCCCATTATTTCTGTTCGACACAAACACATCTTCCAGAAATGCATAGCCTTGTTTTGAAGATTGCAAAAGATGGGAGAATTCAGCATTTTCTTTGATACTTCTTTCACTAATTATTAATCACCTTTGCTGATTTAAATCTGCACCATACCCCATTTGAATGTGCCTGTTTTTTCTTGTAGATTCTAGTCTGTCTTAGGTTTCTTTCCACCACATTAAATAGCTTATTTACTTTCTCCCTGAAAAAGTGTAAGTTTAAAAAATAATTTTTTCTATATTTACTTGGACATTTCAAAAAATCCAGTGCTACTATCTATCTCCCCATTGTCCTCAAAGCTGTACAACTACATTACTGTTTGTTGAGTTACTATAACTGAGACAAGTGCTCAAGAAAGCCAGAGAGAAAAACCATCAGCTTAAGAGTCACACTGATATTAGTCACCTTATGACACAGAGTTCTAATTTACAACCCTCCTTTCTGATACTGAGGTTTGCATCCGGTCGCAGAGAAATTACCTTGCTGCAACTTCAATGGCTAACATGACCATCATCTGTTGTCTTAGGGACATCCTGAATTCATTCTACCCATATGTTGTTCTTTATTGTTCATACTTTATAGGCAAACTAAGATAATTTTTTGTTATTGAAAAATGTAAGATATTGAAGCATGCCAGTCTTACCATTAGATGATCATTTACAATCATTAACTCAATATATTTTGTTTCCTCTTCAACTTTACGTGGAATCTGGCGAACCTATAGATAGAGCAATATCTTCAGAAAACAAACTTCTCTTTTTTTTCCTTAATTCTGTTCTTAGATATGGATAATACTTCCGATGCTTAGTTACATCATTAAAAAAAAAATCTTAAACGTTCCCTAAAAAGACAACCGTATGTCAAATTTGTCTGGATTAGCAGGCAGTAAAAAATGGGCCACGCACTTTTATTATGTAACTGGTTGGGATATTTTGTGGAGGGTGAATGAGAATGAATTAGATTTTTTTCTAATGTATAGTCTCCAAATTTCACTTTTTCTAGCACATTTACATAACCTTGAACAATGAAATCAAGTCTTTTACCACACCTGACCCTCCATCTTAGCTTTTTTAAAGGAATCCCCCATTGGGCCTCTCTCTAAAAAATGGGTTGTTTCAGTAAAAAGCATTAAACGCTTTTACAACGAAAAGGAACCACTCTGACTTTTATACTAAAAAATTCTTTAACAATTGTATTTTTTATTCACGTCCTGCATGAGTCACACACTGAACACAGTACTCATCTCAGTGTCACATTTACTTTTAGTTTAGAAATGATTATGACTGCTTCTCCATGAGGTCCTTGTCTTCCTGGCTTTTCCAGGACAGTCACCTTCCTCTCCAACTGCTCTCAGTTTTTCATCTTTGTCTGCACTCTTCAGAACCCTTTAACTGGCCCTGTTTAGACTTGTACCATCATTTGAGCTCTAGTCCTAAAATGCAAAGAACTGTCGCTATCTTTCCAGCGTAAAGATAAAAATCTGCAGTTAATAGCTCCTCCCTTTAATAAACAGGAATTGAACACTCAATTTATAATATTTATTTAAATCAAAGTCAAGTGAGATAATGTAGCTACTTGTCAGCATTACAACATAAAAGCTATTTGTAAATGTTTCACTAATTGGGATTTTCGGATCCAACCCTATATTAAAACCGATGAAAAATATTTTAGCTATTTTTTTCATATGCAGTTTAGCAATGTAGATAATTTTATCATGTTGATAAAAACACTAATTTTGAGATTTAGCAACAGAAGACTACATGGAGCTTAGGGGAGGAACTGCCACGTGGTTTTACAAAAATGAGGGTGAGGGGGCTGATCTTGGCAAGGCGTGTGTCTTGGGGTATCCAGTAATTCTCTTGAAATTGACATTTTCTTGCTGCTCATCATTGAGGAGGGGCTTGACTCTTAAGGTAAGTAACGTATCGGAGAATCTAGCATTATATTTATATATGTCCAACATTCAATGCCCCTTTTTGTAATAGCTGTATTGATATAGAGAGACCTCATGCCAAACCAGAAGCGGCAGCAGGACTCCATCTGGAAGAATTAACTTAGCAGGCACAAAACAAATATAATGGCATATTATTTATAAGCGAGCATATTGGCACATACCTGCCTTTTACTTCTTTTGTGTCTTGGCTTTACAACAAACTTCTGTGACGTAGTATTCGCTTGCCAGAATTCTAAGCAGAAAACACAGGCAAATACGTTGCATGTTTACAAAAACACAGCCCAACAATTACTGACCCTGATGTAGCACATTCTTCCACGGATCAGATATGATAACAACTCCTCTTTTCAAGTTTCCAGCTAGAAAGGAGGTAATGTTAGAGTTGCTTCTCAGTGACATGGTTCTTATTAAAAGCACTACTAGTGGTAATCTAGGTCTGCTAAAACAGATGATATGTGGGTGTCACGCTTCAGAAAGCATAGCAGATGTTCTAAGACAAAACTTCACCAATACTGTGGATGTAATATTATTAGCACAGTGCTTCTAGAGAATGAATCATATTTTCTGCAATTCAGCAGACATTCACAGAGTTATTGCAATAGCTACCTAAATTAATAAGAAGAGCACAGACGGCAGAATTAATGCTTTAAGATGATTATATTCACAAAGTAAAACATGTGAGAGTTGGGAGAAACCTTATGGGATTTTGGCAATGCTCACTGTCAATACAGTATTCCTCCCTGCTAATCCCTCTGTGTCTTTAATTTGTTAAACCTCTAATCACAAGCACCAAGTAGTTTATTCTTTTGCCAAATCCTTTTTGCCAAATCTATTACCAGTCGCTCATGGAAGGGCACATGAAAGCTGAGCAGAAGACAACACTTGTTCTCACTCTTTTAAATGTCCATAATGTACTTTTCCATCTTTAATTTTAGATTCATATTCTTTGCCTTGCTTTTCTCTACACAAGAGAAATGTCTTTCCTTATCTTGCCTAAACATGTTTATTACTCACAAACCCCTACGAAGATCTTTTTTTGAGATGCATAAATTGAGTGTTTGCAGTTGCTTATTTTATAGCATGTCTTTTTCTTTTGTCTAGTTTACCTCTTTTGTATTGTCTCCAGCTTTGGGCATCCTTTTAGTGTCTACGGGCAGAAAATTGCTTTCAATATTCTGGAGTGATTCTACCAATGCTGCAGAGAAGTAAACAGTCCTACAGGAGCTGTGTAAATTAAGGAACTTCCAAATCACATATCTTGTTCACAAATTTGGGTTGTGTTATATAATCCTAAATACTTCAGTTTCACTGGTGACTACAGTAAGTTTCTTGCAGCTCCACCTCCCATCATGTAGTACACGAACTATGGAATTCTGCATGAGGTTCAAAGAGTAGGATTAAAACCAACACTGATTAAGAACTTAACAGGCCTGCCATACCAGCAAGGCTAATTTCCATGAGGTAGAATTGCACATCTGACAAAGCTTTACCAGACATGAATCACAGAATCACAGAATGGTTGCGGTTGGAAGGGACCTCTGGAGACCATCTCGTCCAACCTCCCTGCTCAAGCAGGGTCCTCTAGAGCATATTGCCCAGGATCGCATCCAGGCAGGTTTTGAATATCTCCAGCGAAGGAGACTCCACTACCTCTCCGGGCAACCTCTTCCATAAATGAAGTTGTATTCTTAACCAAGAGTGGGTAGTTACTTATAATACAAAACATGAAAGGAAAATATGGGTAACTGGTATTCTTTTGGCTAAATCTTGGGGATTATACTGCCGTTTTGATATGTAAAATGTGCAAATATCCTCCTACAGAGGGGTGTGGACAACTGCAGTCACTATGCTTAAAATTGTTTTCATGGTGCTTTACACCCATGAGGAGCCATCTGAGAACAGTTACACTAGTGCATTTGTAGCTTTTCTTTACAAAACAAACCTAAAATAGATTAAATCACACCCCAAGGCCCCTATTTACTGCTTAAAGGCCTGCAAAAGTCCAGTCTCTAGAGCTCACAATGAAGGAAAATTACCTGAAAATCTTCTGACATATTTGTTCTTGTTTATGCTTTATGTGTGTTGACTAATTTAGCCTGTGTACTAGTGCCATGCACCTGACTGTCAACCTTTCACTTTAGGTTTTATATCATTTTTTAAAAAGTGGCAAAAATACAGCTTCTTAATCAATAAATTAATATAGCACAACATTGGTATAGGATCTGAAATAACTTTGCAAACAAATGCAATTGTTTTACCTACTCTCACAAGTCAGTCATCTCTGGAGGGGAAAGAACATTAACATCAACACATTATCACACGTTAACACTGCACTATAATTCACAAGCTGAATGAATTCACTCAGGGTGCATTTCCAGCCAGGGACCCTCAGGCAAAAGAACAAGACCAGCAAAATCACAAAGAAAATACAGACAATTGAGAAAGCCTAGCTGAAATGTTCACAGGAACATATCACCTTAAAAAAGTGTAACAACGATTTGAGCGACCCTAAAAGAAAAGGGCATCTATTATGCATTATTTGAAAAACAACACCTTCAGTAATACAGTGTTGTCTAAGGCCATGCCAGGGCACTATGTATCTCCATAAAGATTGTGAGGACAAAATACAATCTACTAAATTACGAAGTCAAAGTCTCCAAGTATGCCAGGTTATCCACCCGAGCTTTCTTTATTTAAAGTCCTCATTACCAGCAGTCTGCGCAGCAGGTTGGGGGAAGAACAACAGACCACACGTGGACACAGGGGAAAATAGGTGATAAAGAAAGTGGTAGTGCTTATTTCTCTCACCTCTGCAGCCATGGCTACACGAAAATTAGGAGGGATTCCCAATGAGGACATCACCCACAGCACAAGCCTTTTGTCCTGACCTCCACCCTAGTGCCTCTTCCACCTTGTCTAGGCAATCATAAGCAGAAGATGTGAGAGACCAAACCGGGATATTTGCTTTGTTTAGACCCAGGAAGACTGCTTCTCCAGGACTGAAATCAAGGTGGCCCAAATGTAGCTATTTCCTGTGTTTTCCCTCACTAGCTCTCTGAAGGATTCTACTTCGCTTAAAAACTAACAAACCCATACACATTGCTCTCCAGGGCAGGACCAATCTACGCGCAATGCCCAGCACAGGAAGATTCCAGTTCCGAGTGCTACCATAGGACAAATATTCTGTAATGCAAACACTGGACTCCTGTAATTCTACTTTAGTCTATAGAGGTTTCTTCCCAAATAATAGTTTCTTTGAAGGACAGATTCATTTATCTAGGATACACTTTGTAGAGCAGGAAACCACATCTGTAAAACTGACAAATCCTTGACAGAATGGGGGTATGCCACAAATACTGCAATTTTAGCTTCAACTAACAAGCCAGCCTCTTACAGGCAAAATTTATTTTTTTAAAAACCTCTTCTCCCTCCATACACAACGTTTGTAAAGTAACATGGCTGTGGGATTCATCAGTACAAGTGCTTAACATCACTTCCAAAGTCACTTGCAACGAAATGCGTGACCCACACTGCAGCCCACAATGTGAAAGATACTGAACAGACTGGAGAAGAGAGTGGCACAGAACAGCAACAATATTTGGCAAGTTCCTGTCTCCTAGACTCACGCTCACACCATTATACTCACCGTGCACCTCAAAATGGGAAAAACTCATGCAGAGTTATCAGCCATTGGCAACGTTTTTCCATCATCATCTTCCGGCTACCTCAGCCCTTTCTTTTCTACCTCTAATCGTACGTAACAGTCCACAGACCACAATGCTTGTTAAAAGAAACATACGTCACAATATGAAGGTATAGGTGAGGTTTGATTCATGAAGTTAAGGGGTTTTTTCAGTGCTTCAGGTTTTTTCCAGTGCTTTCAGGGTTTCAGATTCATTTTTTTCAGTGCTTTTTGTTTAATCGGAAAAAAGCAGCACTATACAGATACACAATACATTGTCAAGAAAATTAACAATCAAAGATGATTAACAAATCTGACCATAGATTAAAACAAGACAATAGTCATGAATATTAACAAATCATACCAGACGGCAGGTCATCCAAAGGAAATTCAAACAACTTGGATTTGTAAACAGAGTGGAAATGGAAGTCATCCTGAAACAGTAAACAGTTGCATGTATTAAATTAATCCATCTCATGAGAATTAGGAAGACAGTTCTAAAGGGGTTCTTGACATCAAACAACTACATTAGGGAAACTGCAAGCTGCAAGGCACCATTTTCATAGATTCTTCTCCTTCTCTCCACTGTGATGGGATCACTAATGCCATGATTAATCATGTTTTACTTGGCATGTGTGAGTACATCAAATGGAGTCAATGAGCATCCTTAGAGCTCAGAAGCTGAACTTCAGTGAGCGGCTGAGGGATATCTTCAGTGAGAGCAGTACGAGAGGTATGGAACAAAACTGGTGCAGAAAAGTGAGAGAGAAGGAGAGAAGGTATTCGCAGGTATTTTCCTGTGGCCTCTGAGGAACCCTTACTGTCCGATGTTGCACTATTCTGAATCAAAATGCTACAGGGTATACACAAACACACACGCTACTACCTAACTTCTGTAATTCTCCCCCTGCTTTCCTGGAACATACATGTGCTGATGTATGGCACTCAAATGCTAGGAATATGACTTAGGAATGAGGGGATGGCTCTTTGGTCTCAGCTCCTCGTGCCTAGTCTATACCCATTAATGTATGCATTCAACAAACAACACAGCAGGACTATTAGAAATTCTACTTACATCTGAAGTGTAGTTTTCATCTGGCTCAATAAGGTAAGTATGATTTCCATCATAGAACATCCCACTGTTAAGAGCAGGAAATGTAAATACTGGTTTAATAAATAAACATTAGTAGAACACTGAAGTAAGTTTAGTAAGCTCATATTTAAAAATTCAAATATTTTGAAAAGGAAGAAGTTCAAACTGTTTCAGGAAACGAGTGTGATTTTTTTTTTTAAAGAAAAATATTCTCTCCCTCAGGCATATAAACGCTCCTTTCTTCTCCAAAACACCCCTACAACACACACAAGCACCAGGAAAATTGGTTAATTTAGACAAGTCCAAATCTAGTTCAGAGCTTCCACTCCCATGCAAGATAGACCTAACTGTGACAGACCTGTCCTTTAGGAATACACATACAGAGGTTTTGGAACATTCTCATAGCTTTCCCACAAATGAAAAATACTATTACATTGAATTGATTCTTAGATTTTAACATTTTTGATGAACCCTTTCCTCAGTGAGCTCCTATAATACCAAGTACAAAGGGGATAACAGGCTGTTTTGGGCATGTCAACAATAATGACAGGCAGATGACCCTTCTATTAGTGGCTATATATTATATCAACATGAATATTATGAGATGTCTCATGATCAGGAGATGAGAAACCCCATCAGACAGGCTTCCAATGGATTTTGGTGAAAATGCTGATACTGAGGATTATGCCTTCTGCCATAGTCATGGTCCTGGTACAGAACTCAAGGGCTCTTTCTTAATGGCATAAAAACTTCTCAACCACAGAAATCTGAAGATCATGCATGATATGCACACTACTATGTATCTTGGAAAATCTGCCACTTTGATAGCACACACACAATCACCAATTTTCCATGTTAAGTTCCAACACACAGTTCAATTCTAAATGAAGAACAAAGTAAAGTGTTAAGACATCCTAAATAGATGAGGATAGCCTGAAAAAGTAACACCAGATGCTTTTGTATTACCACTTAAATGTACAGCAAATACAAGGTCCACTCCTGTAATGATATTTTCTGTCAAGGGCTACCTTAAAAGAGTTTTGGTAAGGTTTGGTTTTTAACGTAATGCAGGATTCATGAGTATGGGTCACACACTTTAAAAGAAAGCATTTATACAGATATTATTCTCTAAGACCATAAAACAAAAGGACATTTCTTATATCACTATCATTTTCATCTTCAATTAAATCAGCAGTTTTGCTTTTACTGCAGTGACATGCATGGTTGAGATTAGGTTGTACGTCCCCTTTAAAGTGCCAGTACTAAAGGGTTTTCAGCTTGGCCATAAATATGAGCTGTAGGTTCAAACTTGGCACATATTCACAAGATCAGTAAGAAAGCAAAATTATTTATTTATTTACTGTTTCACAAATATTTTGGCATTAAAAAGCTGCCAGAATTGTCAACAACACACACAGATACTTTTTTTCTTTTTTTAATCGGTAACTGGTTTTGGTTATGCACAGGACTAGGTTCGATAAGTAAAATACCAACTTAATAGTTATGAATGCAGTGTTCATTCCTAGAACACAGAATATATTCTAGAAAATAGAATATTCACTCCTATTCCTAACTATTAAGAAATATAAGCACATATTAAGCTTGTAAACTATTACAGTTTTTCATAGGCGTGTTTCTCTTAATATTATTCACTTACAGGGCTAATCATGTAGCTTTCACAGAAGTACATTTGGGTACTGAGTATATAATATACATCAAATACTGTCTTGAGTATATCTACAATTTAGAGCTGTGTCACCTTTCAAACTACCCATGCCTATTCTCTAGAAATAAAGTTCACATTGCTTAAAATAAATATTCTAACACCTGCTGTGCCTCTCTGCCTGGAAATAAAATGAGATTTGGGAACATCCTGCAGCTCTTCATCAAGCAACACTTCCCTCTCGTCGTAAGCACAGTCTGCGAGACAGAGCACTGTCAGTAAAGGGCTTCCTGTACAACCCCTTCACCTAGCAGCACTGACCTCTCATCAAGTCACTCAATGGTAGTAAGAATAACCGTCACAGCCAACCTACAGATCTGACTTGCCCACTTGACAACTGACTTCAAGCAGCTATGCTCTGTGAATGAATCGCACCTTCATGGAAGTGTTAGAGAGAAAGCAATAGTAAAATATAAGCCACTTAAACACCCAAGTTTTGATTACATAAAGTCTTCAAACAAACAACTTTGCAGTAATGAAAGTCGAATTTGCAGTTGTAACAGCAGTTTTTACACTCACCACCAGTGGGCAGCAAAATCCTAGAAGAATATTCAGCTGGTGTCCGCGTAACAGGCCTTGAAACTCAGAATTTTCAATCACACCTGACTACAGCATATTTATATCCTACCTACTAGTGTGTTTTGCTTTTAAAGCATTTTTCTGTTAATTCATGGGAAACTTTGGCTACTGCATATCCCACAGAAAAAATCCTGGCTAGCCTGGAGTTAAAGTTGCAGAGATGTATTTTTCATTAGTGAAGTTCTCAAGCTGAGAAGAAATTCATAATTGTAAGGTTTGTGTCACCCAGATGCCTTATTAATTTAACTTATAAAAGGGAGACCACAACACAGACATTACCAACTGAAGAACTCACGATTTATGATTAGTTAAACACATGTAACGTTATCTCCCAGAGACCTGTACCAAAAATTCAGCTCTTACTGGCCAAGTTCTAGGAGTACTAATAAGTAAGAGAGCGGATTAGCATGAACTTTGGGAATATGGAGCTTGTTATTCTGTTAAAAGCATCTGCTCTTGTCTTATGCTCTTCCCAAAATTCAAGAAAGCTAAGCTCCTGCCCCACCAACTCTATTAGGAGGTAGCTCTCCTCAGCTTTTTCTTATTCCAGTGAGACACCTGAAAACGTGCTTGCAGTTAAGGAGATCTGACTGTGGGTGCAAGTTGGTAGTACTTAGCATCTGAAACCAACTGTGGAGGAACTAGCTGTAATGATGGAGATGCACTGTCAGAGAATCTGAGTTTAATATAGCTCAGAAAAGCATTACCTTCTCATAGTGGATCCCTACCAGCCTGCTATAGTAAGCTTCATGTTGTATCTTACATGAGGGATGACTCTGCTGGAACTTTATTGCCTCAAAAAAAGAAAAAAGATACCTCTCAAGGAAAAGCTTAATTATAAAGGAAAAAAATCTACATCGGTCATCATATATCTGTGTTGGAAGGGACCAGTTTGAACACTGAGCAATTTAAGAATACAGAGCAGCATGAGGGTCAGTCTTAAGGATGAACCTCCAAAAGGAGGCCAGAAAAGAATATATGCAGCCTCTTCTTCCTTTCCTGCATTTCCTCCTAGGAGTTAGCAGAGGTTAGGCGATTGCAAGCCAAGACCTAATGGATGACTGCTAATGGAAGCCATGCAGTTAAACCCTCTCTGGATGCATTAGGATGCTACTATTTTTAGGCTGACTGGCTACACAGAACCTGGGCTCAGGTTTCCTGAGCTGCTCAACCTTACTTACAAAAGAGAGAAATACCGCTCCAGGTCAGACAACGAGCGCAAGAATGACAAGTCTTCTGCACACATTGTCCCCCTTCCCAACAAAGGAAATACAGATATAAATGAAATAAACTACTTAAATACATATATTTATATGGCTGATACAGAAATCATGGACCATCCGGAGATAGACAATAATAAGGTGAAGAAGATGACATTGGCTAAGCTCTGCTTCATCAGAAAAAAGCATAGCTCAGGTAATCTCCGCACTCAGGCTCACTTGCTGCTATTTCTCACACGACCTTTCAAGCGAAGGATGACCTCAGTATCAAAAGTGCTGAGATCTTGTAATTCTCAGAGTCAACAGACACTAAAGTTATTTGGCTGCTCTGAAAACCTGAGTAGCAATCTTTTAATAATGCCAGAAGGAGACAGCGCCAAAAGCCGTACCATCCACGTACAGCTCCCTGTAACCTTCGGTTGACAGCAGCTTTAACTATTTTATCACTAAAATGGTGTACTTTTTCATTATTTACTGCCAAGTTTCTCATGCTTTCTTCCACATTTTCCAAGATTTGAGTGCATCAAAAGTATGTTCCCCATATATACAGCTTAAGACCAGCACTTCCATGAAGAAAACGGATAGGACTAGAGAAATTCTAAATGGACACACTTTGCTTTGTAAATACAGTCAGAGTAGAAAATAAAGATAAAGCTTGTCATTGTAGTGACAAAAAAGAATACAATTTTCAAATGCCTCAAATCAATACTGACAGTATTTTTTGTTACAGTATTATTTATTTTTGAGGAATAGGATGTTTTCAGTTACTTTTACTCTTGTTTCTCTATAATAATTTTTTTTGAATGACACCTGCCTTGCAATCTCTGTCTTGCGTGCTTGGTTGAAAAAGAAAAGAAATTTGGGTGCTTCTACAGCAAGAATTTACAAGGTTCAAATTAAGCCCACACTTTCAAAAGATTGTTGAGATACTTAATAGTGGTTGCAACCTAGTAAGAAAACAAATAGTACTTATTTTACTATAAATAGCTTTATTTTGTTTAAAAGACTAAGCAAAGCACAGTAAAAAGAAAACAGCAGACTTACTGAAGTCCATGGCATGTTGACAAGGCAACAAACGATACAGGATTTCCTCGAATTTGTCCCTGATAATAGCAATGTTCTCCACCCTGAAATTGAAAATTGAGAATGTAAATCCACAGGATGTCCCATACTATCACAGTACGTCTTTTCAAACATTGTTTTTTCATAATTACATTGCCAACCCACTGATGTGGCATGCAGAATTCACTGTCATTCACAGGGGGACTCATCTCATCAGCTTTTGGCTACCTACGAGTTTGGTATCTAGTCTAACATAGTTCTTTTGACACCTGCTATATTGAATGGAGATATGTATCTTCAGTCTGCGATCCCTTGCATCCTGAGACAGACTTCTGAGGTAAAAGGGTCCAGAAGTGCCCATCTTTCTTCACTCACTATGAAGAGAGCTTGAAAGGGGTGGCTTAAACTAGACACCTGGTCTGCACATGGCTATGTTGGATGAGATGAACTCTAGCTTGCAGGTCCAGCAATTCCCTGCTTTGGGGGAGAAAGGTAATAATATTCGATTAAAAGAAAGAAGTACTCCCTAATGCTTTAAAACTAATGGAAACGTTAAAAAAAACCAAATGATATAGGAATACAAATAAAATTAATATCTGCCTCTTCTCTTCTGCAAATAAAACATACACTCTTCAAAACAAACCCAGAAGCCCTTACTTACCAAATCCTCCTCCTTAGTTTCAGAGAAGTCACACCTATAGCAGAGTGAGCCCTACTGTACATGCACTGACTGTATTCAGTGTTGCACAATGTAAATATTTGGATACACAATTAGAAAAATAATTCAAAGGTCCTTAGATTCTTACTTCCACCTTGCCCTGCAGAGAAACTTAACTATTAGTGGCTTGCCAAACTCAGCAATACTATTATTGCTCTACCGTTGGTTAAAGAACTATTTAAAAAGAGAAAACTTTCAATGTTTAATTTTTTTTAATAGCAACACTTTAATATTTCTATTTCCTACTACCAACTATTAGCCCACAAGTAAGAAAAATCTACCTAGCCTAATATACCAAGCCATGTG